ACAGATGTTATAAACAGTTACATGGTCGAGTTCGCTCCTTGGGCCACGCTCGCGCCGTCTCCCCAGATCTTGCCGTCCTTCAACCACGCCCACACCATCTCGTGTCCCTCCTTGGCATTGCTAACCGTCATGCCATCCCGGGGATCTTTGCTGGGGCCTGCATCCCCCAACACCTGCACACGGCGCGTGGTGTTCTTGCCGACCTCCAGCACGGTGCCGCCCTCCAGCTCTTGGTCCTCGACACACCGCAGCATCGCAGCCGCCACCTCAGCAGGCGTCACCCAGCCGTCCTGGTCGGGATCGACGTACACCATCTTCTCGGGATGTTCTTCCCACAGCGGGGTGCGGACGATGCCCGGAGCCACGGCGTTGACGCGGATGTTGAGCTGCGCTTCGAGCGGGCCCAGGCTGCGCACAAACCCCGTGAGACCGAATTTGGCGGCGCTGTAGAGCGGGGCGTTGAGGTTGGGCAGCTGGCCGGCGATGGAGGTAATGTGGACGATGCGCTTTGGCGACGATGCCGCTGGAGGAGGACAAAGAGGACGAGGAGAACGACGAAGATGAGGAGACGATGGTGAGGAACCTGACAAGGCGGTGCCGGTGCTGCTGCTGCTGGCTGTGGTGCGTGGATGCAGCCAGTGCGAGAGGGCCAGCTGGGTGGTCCGGATCGGATGCGTCAGGTTGATGTCCAGCAGCGCATAGTGGCCTGCGACAGGGTCATCGCGTGCTTCGGGGCTGCCAGGCGGATGCCAGAAGTTGGTCCAGTGGGGCTCGAAGATGCCGGCGCCGGGACAGACAATGTCGATGGAGTCAAAGGTCTCGAGGGCCACGGCGAACATGTGTGCGAGGGCGGGCCAGGAGGCGACGTCTGTAGGGACGAAGATGGCTCGAGGAGACTGGCGATGGGTGCTGGCATCGGCTTCGCTGCTGCTGCTGCTGTGTTTGGCAAGCAGGGCTTCGGCCTCGGGACGGAGGGCAAGGTCTGCCAAGACGACGTTGCAGTTGCGCGAGAGGAGAAGAGCGGCGAAGGCGAGGTTGATTCCTATCGTGTTGTTGATGAGAGGGAACAACGGGTCAAGAGGCCACACGTACAAACGGGAAAAGACGCGAGGTCTCCGTGTTCAGTGGTCAGTCAGTCTTACCAGAGCCAGCACCAGTGATTATGGCAGTCTTGCCATCGACAGTGAAGGTAGTTGTGGTTGAAGCCATATTGGTCTGTGGTCTTGATCACTTTCACATCGTCCTGTGTCGATGGTGGAGCGAGGCGTTGCAGTGAAGCTGAGATGTGCTGGTTGCTATAATATAACAATAGATCATCATGCGCAAGAGGACATCAGATCTCGCCGCTTTCTTCACTGCATCTCAACGCACCATGTTGCATGTTGCCACAGAGGGGGAAGACCTGATCAGTACGTGAAGATCGACGGCCCTGGGCGGGGAGGTCGACTCCAAATTGTACATGACAGCATGACAACCAAACTTAAAAACAAGACAGCAATGCTTGAGTATGCAAACAATTAGTCTTGGCCCTCACTCGGTACAAGAAAAGGGCGAGGACCGAAGCATGAGATTCCCCGTCTACTGTATAGTATAACCGAGCCACAGGAAAACAACACCACCACCAGTATGCAGGGTCAATCACGAGGCATAATGCGAGATACAGAAAGAAGGTCAAGCAAGGTTGGTTATTATCTAGGAACTAAACTAAACGATCAAAAAACAGCAACTTACCTGGCCGATGTGCGACAAGTGCCTCCATCAAACATCAAGTCAGAATGCAGTACAAACACTCCTCTCCCCTCTGCCTTCTTCTCCGTAGTGAAGGACCGCTATGCAAACCGTTTCATCATGCAGCAGACAGAGTACGCTTGCGATGGCGTCGCTTGCTCTTCTCCACGCGTCTCCTCGACGCGGCCGACAGTCTGTCTGTCCACACCGGATCGCACACCACCGACTCAGCAAAGGGAAACCCTTGCATACTCACCTCGGTCGTCTCGGTGTTCGGCTTCGTCTCGACAGAGAGCAGAGGCTGGTCGTCGTCATCCCACACCACTGTGGCAGACCTGCGCACTCCCGGCCCCGTGGAATCCTTGAGCTTGCTGGTGAAGGTCAAGTTGGGCGCACGTTTGGCGTCCCAAAAGAGATATCCTGTGCGGCGCACGAGGTACTCCAGACGACGGCTGCTGGTGCTCAGGGCAGGCCATGGCGAGGATGCAGGGTCGGCAGACACCGCGTCGCGGTACTGTTCAAAGAAGCCGTTGGAGACAGGCGACGGCAACGACGACGACGACGAGCCGGAGGAGGCAAGATCACCAGCAGCACCAGCTTGGCGTCTCATGCGCGCCAGACGGCTACGGGTCTGGCTGTTGGTGGAGCGGTAAATCACATGGTCGAGGCTGAAGAAGAAATCCTCGTGGAGACCTCCAGGCGAGCCGTCAAACAGGTCGCCCCAGATCTCCGTGTCCAGAGCCTCGGCGTCGCCAGTTTTCAGGGTGTGCACGAGCGTGTGCAGGCTGGTGCCAAGGTACTTGCCCACACCGCCGGCGCCAATCTTGAACTTCCTCAGGAGCTCTTTGCGCTCTGTCGACGCAAACCCGACCTGCTTGCGGCGGAGGAACGAGTTGGGCTCCCAGCTCGACACGGGCACCTCACAGACGTGGAAGATGAGCATGTACCACAGCCGCTCCGAGTGCTCCGCCACGGCGCGGACCTGCTCCACCTCGACGTCGGGGAACATGCACAAGAAGCGCGCGCACTCGTCCATGGACCCGGTGTGGGTGAAGATCAGCTTGACCATCTCGAAGCGCATCACAGCGCGCAGGAACCGGCGGCGCTCCTCGAGGGAGAAGGTAGCGAAGATGTTGCTTTCTGCGGCGCGCGCTACGTGCGACAGATGGGGCGCGGTGAACCAAGGGAGAACAGAGGCCTTGTCTCTGGCGTGCTTGTGGGCCGAGACGTCGGGTGGGCCGACTTGCAGGGACTTGTAGGCGTAGTCCTCGATGAGAGCCCGCGCTGCGCCGAGGTGGGCAGCGACGGCGTTGAAGTGCGTGCTGATAAACTTGCTGTGGGACTTGGAGCCCGGGGTGCCGATGAAGTCGTGGCCAGAGTGCCAGTGCTTCAGCTGCAGCTTCACTTTGGGACAGGGCTTGGTGTTGGGCGTGGTCTCGAACTTGCGGACGAGCTCGGCCTTCAAGGCAGAAGGCTGGTTCATGCAGTCTTCCATTGCGACCAAGCTTTTCTTGTTGCAACGGCAAGACAGCGGAAACTGGACAACGCCCAGGGCCATGTTGACGCCATCGTAGCTGAATTCATTGTACAGCACAGCCAAACGGACCTGGTCCGCGGCAAACTGGAAGGTTTGGTGAATCTTGGAGCATGTCAAGACGGTGCTGAGAAGGTCCTTGCGGCTCTCGAGGTTGGCCAAGACGAGGATTAGGATCTCGGCAGGAATGTCTCGCGCGACATTCAGAGCTGGCTCGGCGCGGGAAGCCATTTTTGTTCTTGACGAGCCAGCGGCAGAACGGGATGCTGATGTTAGTGTGGAAGGTATTGTGCTTGTCAGTGTTGAGTCTGCTGTCTTGGTGAGAGTGTGATTCAGAGACCGCGGCCAAAGATGTGCTTAAGTAGAAAACGGTGGCTTGTACGTTTGGTTACCTGCTGGCTCGAAGTTGACGGCACACTGACCCAGTAAACAATGGAACAGCACAAAGGTTGGTGACAATATATTGAAAGGGCCATCGACTTCGAGAGTTCACGCTTCTCGAAAACGATTGTGCTCGCGGTTCTTTGTGGCAGTCCATCATGTGTGACTGGCTTTGTTCCACATTTGCAATTGGCATGCTCAGACTTTGGGCAGTTCTTGTTGACGGCATGGCTCACTTCTAATTATAGCGCCATGACTTGGTGAGTGGCCTTGTTGGCCGTCAACCAAACGCCTTGTGTATTTGTGAGACTGGCAATGGCTATGTTGAGTTGATACGAATGCTGCTCTTGTGTGGCAATTGTGTTTGTCTCCATGCAGGCTCACTTGCAATCCCATTTGGGCACCAAGAGATTTGCCGACAGATATCAGGAGGCGCAAAACATGATCATGACTGGGCGAGGAAGCGTATGTCGAGGTTCGTGAGAGACTTCTCAGAACAGAAGACAAAGGTAGGTAACTCGTCCTTGATTGTGCTGGAGAGTGTGTGTCTAGAGCGCCACGGACAGACGAATGAGTTTGGTTAGTGGGAAAGACAACTTGAAGTTCAAAACAAGTCGCACATGAGTAAAGTAACGAAACCTTGGAACCGAAGCAAAGCCATCAAGACCAACTTCAATCTGCAGTACGAAGAACTTCATATTGTCTGGGAGTGAATTCTTGATTTTTAAATGTCAACCACATTTTCGGCTCCCAAGCCGTTATACATTTTGATCAAGCTCAGAACTTGGAGTAGTCGCCAGGAAAAATGCGTACAGGAAGCCGTACTCACAGCAATGACATGATTCGACAAGGCAGAAGACGTGTAAGGCAAGAGTACGAAATCAGTGAAGAGGAAGAAGAGAATTGGAAAGTGAGGGTAGAAGGAAAAAGAAAGATGTATGAGTTAAAAAAACAAAGAGAAAAAGAAAACAGAAAAAAACAACGAGACGCAAGCGCTGTAACCGAGAATCACCATAAAGAACCTGCGTTTGACTGGCAAATCTTGCTGTCATGCTTGCCTTGCTTTTTCCGTGCGTCTCTTGGACAATACCAGAGGCAAGAAAGAATTGGGAAGGCGAAGGAGGTCAAAGGCAGCGTCGGATACATCAACCTAGGGCCCCTGTCCACAGGGAGCCAATCATCTTACACGATTTTCGCCAAGTCGCCAGAATGACAGGATTACCGCCCCCTCACGTGTCAAGCCGTATGGATGGAGTAGCAATCAAAACCTTTCATTGACAGCATTGCATGCATGCTAGGATGAACCAAGGGGCCAAAAGAATTTTTTTTTGGAAGAAGAAAAAACGAAAAAATATTGGGGTCTGTCCGTGGATCGAACACGGGACCTCTTGCAATGAGTGAATAGGGTTTTCCCTAAGCAAGAATCATACCACTAGACCAACAGACCGAATTCTGATTCAGAATTTGTTGAAAACTCGAATTGTAACATAGTATATATTGCCTTTTTCTGAATTCTCGAGTCTTCTGTGCGCACGCCACGAGGGCTACAACGACATCCCATCTGTCTCTCTCTCTCTCTCTCTCCATCCCTCATCCAACCGTTCACCAGCTGAGCCGTCACATAATGGCATTCAACCGATCAACCATCTCGTCTGAAGATGCACATGCCAAGCTTTCTGCAACTTGGTTAAGCGAGGAGATTATGCGCGTGGTGGAGCGCCAGGGGGCCTGCACGCCAGCACATGAGACGCCGCCGGTTTGAGCCTCACAGCCCCATTGCAGCACGCGCCGTTTGCAACTCGCGCTGGACTCCGGGGCTGCTGGACTCCTCGACAGGCTCGGTGAGACTCTCGCTTACGCAGGCTCTCCTCCTGTTTCTAATGGCATGGTGGGCTATAGCAGGCTCATCAGCAACTGCGCTTCTTGCCATCGATCCAGATACGGTTGTCCGTTACAGATGCACGCAAATCAGAAAAGACTCCCACGGCAGATCGGCACAGACTCGCTGGTTCAGGTCTGCCCAAGAGCTCACTGAGACTCCCACCCTCGTCTTGGAGGATCCGCTTGTACGGCACACCTTGGCATGCCCGGCAGTGTGCCGTCGCAAACGCCTCAGTTGTGCGGTTGCGAGATGATTTTGGGGGGGGGGGGCTGGCAACTTGTTCCACTGAGTAGTCCACTCGGCATGGCGTCCATGTTCTATTCCTGAAGGCTGATAAAAATGCAGGAGCACCAGACCAAGCCCCTCGTGTGGCGGCACGACGAGACAGCGCAAACACTTTTGTTTCCTTTGTTGCCCGGAGCGGTCGGCAAGGCCGTCCTTCTCATACCAGGCCACAGGGCGAAGCAGCCTCTCTCGTTCGTCGGTTGCAAGAAACATTCAGCTCACTCGTCGACACTGGGCCCAGGCGAGGGCGTCTCGGCGGTGCTGCAACAGCTTCACCAATGCACGCTCGTCTCAACATTGTTTACAGCCATGGATTGTTCGTCTGGACTGGCGACCCGCGAGGTTTGAGATGGGATTCTCGTGAGGCATATGCGCTAGGGCAGGCCAGGCCTGTTTTGTCATCGCCATCGCGGAATAGCCGCTCAGCACCGTAGACGGGCTGGAGACGAGAGCGAGAACACGAGTCGGACGAAAGAGGCCGTCCACGAGACTGGTGAGAATGGACGACTATAAAGAAGCCATCGTCATCCACCTTTCCATCTGTCATCTCGTCTCATCGCATCATCATCACCATCTTTTCCCAGCATCTACAGCTTCTACAGTCTTTTCTTCACTTGGACCACGATTGACTCGTGCCACTACATTCACTACTATCTTGTCCGTTGATCCGACTACCAACTACTTTCTATATCCTAAAACAGCAACAGTCCAACTGTCTTTACCATCCTTTCCTTCAAACATCTGAAGTTTATTTTTCTCCGCGATTCTTTTGACAAGACCAGCCACTCGTACGACCCAGCCATCCAAGATGTACTCTCAACTCACTGCCGTTTTCTTCGCCCTCGTGGCCGCTCCCCTTGTCTCTGCTCACGGCGAGATCCTGTCCGCGGTCGGAGAGTAAGTCCATCCTCCTGCTTCTTGCCTTGGCTTGGCCTGGCCCACCAAACAAAAGTGCCAGCCACAGCGCCACTGACACATGGGAAACCTCAACAGCCAAGGTGGCAACGGAACTGCCCTGGGCATCAAAGGCGCCGTCGTGCCCGGCGAGGGCGCCAACTCTGTGACGGAGGTGCAGACGACGGTCTTCTGGTCCAAGGACATCAACACCGACTACGACATTGGTTTCACCGAGGGTGGTGTTGCCGGCAACGGCAACAACCAGCTCGCCTACGTCAAGTACGCCATGCAGCAGAGTGGCGACACGCTTCCCCAGGTCAGCAGCGGCGGCTCTGTCTCGGGCGTCTTCCACGTCGTCACCGACGACGGCTGCGGTCCTCTCGAGGCCGTCGTCGACCCCGAAGCCACCATGCTCTTCAGCAAGGCCGTCAGCGCCAAGGTCACCAGCGATGTGCCCGGCACGGGTGCGCCTGGCGAGTGCCCCACCAACTTGGACAGCGGTGTCGACAACAAGCTGAAGCGCAACCTCCGCCGCGCTCTCGTCAAGATGGGCCTCATTGCCAAGCGCGCCAAGAACGTCAACCGCAGCTACGTAAGTCGTTCTTTTGCCTGGGCTTCTCCGTCATTTTCCACTTGGACGTTGCCAGCTAACGTCTTGTTTTTTCCCCCTGCTCTAGAACTACTCTGTTGAGATTCCTGCGGGCACCCAGTGCACGGGTACCATCAACGGCATGACCGGTCTGTGCCTCGTCAAGGTCTCCAACAACAACGCCAACGGTCCGTTCGGCGGTGTCGTTGTGGTGCAGATGAGCAACTCTACCACTGCTCGCGTCAAGCGCTCTACTTCTTTCACCTCCTAAGTACGACTCACAACATTGATGTGAGCGCCAGTGTCTCGGGCCCCTGCAGCCGCAGGCAAAGAGCCTGGCCATTATTCAACCGACTTGTCTAATGGATATTGATAAAACTTGGATAATTTCCTGGTGGTTTTTTTTCTTTTTTTCTTCCTTTTCTTGCGGTCCTTTCTTTTCTCTCTTTCTCTCTCCCTCTTTCAATATAAAAGTTGGAAAGATTGGGGAAAAGGAGCCGTGTAGATGCTGTGGTGGATGAGGATGAGGATGAGGATGAAGATGTGATCTTTTACACACCAGGCTGGTCCGGCACTTACTCTAGTAATTCGTGCTAGTGGAAATGAATACATGATGATGACGACGACGGTGATGATGCGGACCACTGTTCCCATGCGACATGTTTTGCTTTTGCACGGAGAAGAGGAGTCCATACTGTGGCATGGCTTGGATTGGATTCCGCACTTGGAAACTGTTTTTTTTGCAAAGACCTTGAGGTACTACTGGGCCCATGTGGACGAGCCCTCTGGTCCCTATGTCGTCTCTTGAGTGGCGTCTCTTGAGTGGCTTGCTAGTCTTGGACACTCACATGCACATACTTTTCAGTCAAAGCAGGTCCACGCTGCCAAAGTCTCGACCAGTTACACTACAAACTTTGGGTAAACTCGAGGGCTCAGGCCAGCCGCTTCCTTTCTCCTCTCTTCTTCCTCTATGTCTTTTCTCTCGTCCGCACAGTGTGTTCACAGACTATGCTCTTCCTTTCTTCTCTCTTCTTCCTTCATCACTTTTCTCTCGTCCGCACAGTGTGTTTACAGACTATTCACCAGATATCGAACGACCTTTTCAACGTCTGGCTGCTTAACATCATCTCCAGGGAACAGGGAAAATGTCGCAACAGGCCTGGCTGCCGTGTCAGTCTGTTTCAAGCCTCTTTTTTTTGTTTTGTTTTCTTTCTTTTTTTTCCAAGACCCAGCAACCAGCAACCTGTTGGCGTCCAAGCCAAACGACGACGCTACCCTCGTCTTGTTGAAAGCCAGAGTCATCACAAAGCCACAGCTCAAAAA